TATTCCCAAGGACCCAAAAAGTAGGTACGTTCAAAATAGAGCAATTTTTAAGTACAGTTAAGTGTTACTTCTAGCATGAATAAGAAAAATAATATGTAGAATGAGAGATGATTTTCAAACTGAATCTATTTCTTGAAATACTCTCTCATATGCTGCTATTATTCCACAGTAATGCTTCTTTTAGGGCAATATTTTACACCGATGTTAACATTTCCATGGCACGATAGACAGGGAGGCCTTCCAAGCACACAGTTTCTCTCACACTCCGTTTAGGAGCTCTTCCATTTTTCTATGCATTTATGCTGCACCACTGACGTGAAATATTTGATCCAGAACAATGATAATGCTTTGCTTTTTTTCATTCCAGCCTTTACTCGATCTCCTTTGCAAACATTGCTAGGGAGTAACAGGGCCTCAGGAGGCAGAAAGCCCAGCCAAAGCTCGCCTGTGAGTACCTGGCAAAGCTAGGACTAGAAGACAGATGTACCCGATCCTTCTCTCATTTGAGAATCAGCTCAGGTCGACTTGGTTCTGAACTTTGGAGATGATCTGCCTGCTAAGCTATAGCACATTTATGATTTGCGGGTTCCTGCTCTGACTTGGCTTCATTTTTTAACTTTTCTTTTTCTTTTTAGGGGACCAAACTGTTCACTGGGTTTGGCAGCTGACGGCTATTAACTGTCACACTCCAATAACCAAGGGATAGTTAGAACAGCATTAAATATTTGCACTGTGCAGCAAGGCTATACTTCATCTCAGTACACATGAATCCCGTGCTCTTTTCACACTGGAAGAAAACCCACCTTATTGCTATTCAAATCTATCTGTCTGTCTCTCTTCCCATACTGTCATTACGCATGCAAGGCCTGTCAGTGCCACTGACACAAAAACCCCCTCTCGCTTTATGCCAACACCAGTGACACCTGAAAAAAAAAACCAAGACACAAAAGAATTACTGCTTTTAAAAATTTTGTTTTATTTGGCCTTCATTTTCTAATAAGGTTGCTTATTCCATGTCTTTATAAAAGTATTTCTCCTGCCCTGCAAGGTTTTCTCTCACAGGAACAGCTTATAGATAATTCTACATGAAAAGTAGGTTTTGGTAACTGAGGTTTGTCCATTTTGTATGTCCCTGGTTAAATTGCGAAGCTTTGTTTTGAGCACAGTTTTTCCCCCCTCGTCATCTTAACTGCCATTTTGAGTCTAATCTTATAGGAAATATCCTACATAGGCACTCCTTGTGGTCCGCTTTTAAAAAGCAAAATGTATTTTGGCCTCTGCAGGAAGCATTTAAAGCACATAATGAATAATGTTTGACACAGAAGTCAGTTAGCAGTCATTTTAGATTAACAACACCGCTCAGAAAGAAAACCTTGCAGGGGATTAGACCAAGAAAAAGATGCTTAGGCAATAACCTCTGAGCCAGTTGGTTGCTGAACTATTCACAATAGACATAACTATCTCCGAAGGTCTTAAGTGTGAGAATTATCTCCGGGAAGAGAACAATGAGTTAGTGAGACATAAAACAATAGGCTCATGCTCTAACACAAGCAGTTAGCACCGCACATGGTCTCTTCTCGTTTAATCTGCAAGACTTTCAGACAGTAGCAGTTGGTGCCCAAATTAAGACTTCCTCTCTCCCTTTGATCTTATGTAAAAACTAATGAATTGTATAATCTCCAACACCTCTGAAATCCCGCTGGTTAAAGGGAAACTATCCCTACCTTTCCCATGCCTGTCTCAATTCACTAAATGGGAGCTATATTTAACAGCAGGCCAATCACATGATCGCTGAAAAGGAACAGCACAAGGATCTGTAATCCTAATGCTCTGGAGCTGTGATTGCTATAAATCCTTTGCAGAATGATTTCCTTTAAATCCCAAACATGTCATCACACTTTTAATTAAGATTTCTTTATGAAAACTGTGGATAAGACCCTTTAAATTAAAGATTGTTCCCAGACTTGTCATCTTAAAACAGTGTGCATTTCTATTGTCATTTTCATGTAGCATATTTTACTTGACTTTATAAGTAAAGCTTTTTTTCTTTCCTTTCCCCTCCTTTGCCTTCCCTGCCTTAACCCTCAAACAAGTAGTAACAGCTAGCGCTATTTTTAAAGGGTAAACAAATAGCTTCAAATTAGTTCATGTACAAAAGGGAAAATTCAAATAATCAAAAGACCAGCAATGAGTACAGGCAGAGATGTGGCTGATACTGCCCTACTTGAATTCTTACCACCTTCCTCTCTTGAGTTCACCGTCTAATTGAGCTAACCATCTTCTTTACAGAAAGAGATTGAGAGAGGAGAGTGATCTGCCCAAAGTAACAGAGCGGATCACCTGCAGAGACGGAAACACACCTTTATCTCCTGATTCCCGGCTCTTAATTCTTCTCGGCTATTTTGCATGTGGCTTTCTGAATACCAGGCCTGTTTCCTTGCCTGTTGATCTCAGCAGCATTGCTACCCACTTATGTGGTACTAAAACAAGCCTAAAATGCACGATGCTGGGCGCAGGCGAGGCAGTCTTATTTCCAGCAAAAGGGAAGAGTTTTATCTGAGTAAGGGTGACAAGCTTTGGCCGGTGGCTAGTGGGAAATGGATTTCCTGAAAGTAACCCAGGTAGGAACTCTGGGTTTGAATGATGGCTCAAGCTCAGTGACAGACTCGCTTCAGTTATCCCATCTGGGACTTGAGACAGCGGCACATGTCACTGGCAGACAACTCTTTCAATGATGTTTTTCAGGAAGCCTGGTTTTCTAACATGCCTCTGTGTGGAATAAGCTGGTAGAGGACCAAAGACAGAGGAGAATATTTGTGAGAGAGAATATTAAGGATGGCACCATTATCCATTATATAGATAAAAAACCTCCCTTCATCAGTGAGAAGCAGGAAAGAAATACAGATCCTGAAAAGAATCCAGAATGAAATTGTCAGGCAATTTGACTGCACAAACTGAAATTATTTAGCATGATTTGGCAATACATTTCTAAGTATCTATGTATCATCCAAAAACATCCATTGACAGATATTGGAGAAATAATGAATGGCTAAATAGAGCAGGTCAGACTCTGATGCCCTTCCCTGAATCAGGTAGTAGTTTATTCCTCAGCTGCTCCCACTGGCTTCAAATTATGCTTTGTAGCTGACACTCAGAGCCAAATGTCAGGAGCCCAAGCTCACCAAGCACGTCAGTGGAAAAGCTCAGAACAGAACCTCCGACTTGACTCTCTTGCATCCTGAATTGAAAGCAAGGAACAGCCCAGAGAAAGAAAGAACGAACCCCCCTGCTATGTTATGACTACTTTCCTTTACATATCTTCCCTTCCTCTACAGTAGTTACGCTGTCTTGTAGTTTCATTGGTATGGTAAAAAATGTTTACATATTCATATTCTGGTTTAAATGGGCCATAATTATCTGGCCAGGACATTGATAAAGGTGTTTCAAAAGGAATGGAAAGTGTCACGGATGCGGAGCAAAGGGAACAGCAAATTTAACCACTAGACCATTGGGTTTTTCCTTATTGACAGCCAAATTCATGCTGTAAGCGTGGTGTGGCATATGTGACCATACATTAAAAGCAGGGACTGCAACACATCCTTCCTCGGCCTGTCAGCTTTTCTTGATTAAAATATGGATACATCAAGTTAAAGAATTAAAAATTAACCATGCGATGTAAAAAATAACATTCTTCTGATCAACCCAGAAAGCATGAAAAACCATGCACACTGTAGCCTCTTTCAGTTTTGTTTGCAGTTCCATTTTCACTCCAATATATTCATTCCTCTTCCTCTCTCCTATGCTAGAACATGAGAAATGTGAAGCCCAAAGCTCTTTCGAGAGTAGCGCTATGAAGAAATCAGCCAAGTCTTACTTGCGGAAAGCTGTTCATGAGTAGGTCCACAGATGGACAAGGCCTGTACAATGCAAGCTTTTTCAGATAGAAACTGCTGGCCCGAGTCCTTGAAGAACAGACCGTACATAGGATGCAGTGACCTGTGCTTGCAACGATGGAGTTCCATGGCCCCATGAGGGTTTTCTGAAATGGCTGGTTTGAAGCTCCTTGATGTACTTGCAGGGATCCCACCAGGTGCTCTCTGAGATGAGAGAGCCTGTTGTCCAATGTATCAGACTGGATACTGGGCCAAACAAGGGAATCGGGATCACAGCCTTGATTTCTCTGCGTGCTCTTTGCGATACACAAACTGTACTAACAACATTCAATCTCTGTGCGTCCCGTGTTCCATGCTGTGCGGTAAAGTGCGAAGCCCGCACTGACTTTACATTCTTTGATGAACCCTAGCCATTAATTTTTCATCTCTCCTGTGGTACGAACACCAAACTGATGTTCCTTCCCTTCCTTACTGCTGAGATCACCCTTGAACACCCACCTGGACACTGAAAGTCAAGTATAAACCACTGAGATCTAGCTCGTACCGTGTGGGGGTTAAGCACCCATTTCCTCTTCCCATGTCAGTACGATATGTGGAGGAAAGCTGGACACATACCAACACAAAACCAGGAGGTACTGTATGACAATTTTTTATTTATCAATATCAAATTACATAGCAAAGTAATGAATGCAGTGTCAGATCACCTCTTTGAATACTGTAAATACAAACAAAATCCACCATATTGCTTAATTATCCAAAGTAAATTAAAAGTTTAAAAATGTGCGTTTCAGAGATTCTGTTTGGCATATCCTGTCAATATATCCTGCATAAATATTTCTGTACCTCATTTTCACTATGTGTACCTTAATTAAATACAGCCTTTAGAAAGCCCACGTGGAGGAGATAGGATCTATCTGTATGTTTATGTTTGCCATCAACTCATGCATCTGCCCTGAAATCACTGAAAGTACCTATCTGCTAGCTCACCTGACAGGTGAATGTGACTGTCCATCGAGTGGCCAGACCCTGCTCTCACGTAGCGCCAGACCCAAAGCTACTGGCATCAGCGCAAAGACGACTGAATGCATGACATCAGCTTTGGATCGGGTCCTTAAATTACTGACAAAATAGCTATTCCTTTTCATGGAAGCTGGGCTGGATCTGATGGCCAGATCTCGTACACTCACATATGTAAGGAAATTCTTGGGACATTTACACTGCTCTTTACACTAGTGTGACTCCACTATATAGAAACAACAATTCCTGGTTTACAACGTTAAGTGACAAATAAAGTCAGGTCTGTTGATTTCACGTAAGTTGAGTAGGATTTGGCCACAGCTGGATACAAACTAGATAATTCAACAGAAATATTTTAATGGTGTTAATCAGCAGTGTCATTTACATGGCACTTCCTTATAAACTGTGTAAATAGAACAATTTTTCCTGATGGATGAGAGAATAAGCTTCACTTAGCACTGTTTCCAAAAGTTACGACTACTGAGACATGGTAGTGGTATGAAAAGGAAAACACCGTAGAAATACAGATTTTGTTTAGAATACAATGAACAGAAGTACAGAAGCGTTGATGCAGGTAATTGGAAAGGTGAGGAAAGGGAAGGAGGAAAAATTTAGGCAGCAATCCCATGGCAACATGGGAGTTACTCTTGATCCCTCCAATTCACCAGTATCAGTGGAAGTCAGGCTTCTCTGGGAAGGTGCAACCTGAACGCTTGATAATTACGCTGGCTGCGTAATGTCCAGCCCGGATGCACTCGGTCACTGGCCGGTCATAGACGAGCTGTGAGAGAAAACCTACGGAACAAAGTGGGAGAGAAATAGAAGGAAGAAAATGGTTAGATTAGTTTTTTTGAGTGTATCAGTTTGTCACAGGGCAAAACACTGAAATACTGGCCGAACTGTACGTACACAGGTAGCCTAGCTAGTTTAAATTTAGTATTGCGCTTGAGTGACCTGCTGCGGTGGAGTGCTGCTGGTGTTAGTCTCCATTTGGTAGCTTCACGTAAATTAAAGATTATCAGGATCTTTATTAGTGCCCTCAAAATGATTTTACCAGAGTTCTTGCTCTCTTCTTTTCCAGAGAGAACCCTTGATTCCTCAAATACTATTTTAAAAACAAAGAAGCCATTTTCCCTGCTGAAGAGAGCTCCTTCTGTTCATACTGGCCATAGCTACAGCCCCCTCCAACTGTCACTCTGCAAGCTTTTCTCAAGAAAAGAGAAAGGCACATAACAAATAAATGTTATTTATATCACAGGTACAGGTGTTCTCAATGAAAAGAAGGTGAGAAATTTTTACCTGATGAGGAAAGTTAGATGACATCTGTTGTCCTTGATTATGGGAAATTTCACCTAAGACTTCAGAAACAGTGCGTACCTCTTAGCATGTTCGGATACCTACGTCAACAGCAAACTGTATGGAGAGCCAAGCACCTCTCAGAATCGGGGCACCTGGTTAACTGCTTTAGCTAACCAAGCCCTAGCGTGCATGGCTTAGAAAACCAGAAATCACTGGGAGCTGAGTGTTTGGAAAACCAGAGCACCTCTTTAAATGAATATAAGCAGAGAGTCCTAAAAAGGAGATTATTCATAGGTACTTGGAAAAGTTAAGTGCAAGTGGCACCAGAAATTTTATGGATTGAGTCCCTCATTTCTGAAACATTTTGTCTTGGCTGAAACTATTGTGATTGAAAGCACGACAGAACTTATGGCAGAGGTGAAATACGTATTTTAAATTTGGAAGAGGTTTTCAAGATGTGAAAAGTAAACTTACTATCTTATAATTTAAAACTCCACTCTGTCATTCTAGAGGTAATATTTTATTCACTTTTATCCTGTTTTTAATATGGTTCAGATGGATCTCTCTTCCTCATCCAATCACAGAAGGAAAGTGAGACTTGCCCAGGAAAATCAGAAGCTGAAACATGTTCTTTTTAAAGCTTTCATCCACCATTTCAAGTTCCTGTGTCATGCTCTGACAGGCCTTGGGCCTTGACAGTACAAATCTAGTCTTGAAACCATGTCTCTCGTAAGTACTATGTAGCTCATAGGTACCAATTTCTGACATATTACAAATTTTGATTCAAAGATGATATGTGCTAGCTTGCTTTCCAATACACTTTCTCTGTTCAGCTTGGTTACTACTGGAACAAAGACTCTACATTATATTGTGATGCTCTCATTTAACCTGTGCTCCTTTTCTAAATATTTCCTTTTGTGGCACATATTTTTAGAAGATGATAAAAATACTTTATCCTATGCAATAATGCCTGCTCCTTGAAGATCAAAAATCACGTAAACCATGAAAAATAAGGTTAGATTAAGGAAGGATCATACTGGTGAGCAAAAGACCCTGTTTTCATGAATTACCAAGATCTGTCTTGGCTTCTCGGTCATGACTGATAGTGAGAAGAAGCCTAGTTGATGTAGCAGTTTTCTCTAAGCTGCACCGAATGGGAGAAGAGTTTGAAACTACTAAATCTATAAATCAAATACTTTTCACTGGAATAGGGAGGCCATAGAAAGTAGGCATTTTAGTCGCCAACTAGGAGAAAACTCGTATGTTTCTGACAATACTTTTCTAGACAACTACATATTAGCTGGAATTTCACAGATATTGACTGACACTAGCTGGGAAAAAATGACTGCTTCACCAACAAAAGTTAAGTCCATAAGCACAAGTGGAGAAGACAGGAGTTTTCAGTATACGAAGATGAGAATCCGAAACAGGAAGAAATTGTGCTGTGAGTGCTATCACTGACGGCAGTCAGGGGATGACAGACAACACAACTGTGGCAGGATGGTCCAGCTGTAATAGTTGGGTAACAGTTGAGAAATTCAAACAGCATGCCTGGCAGAAATCAGACCATTTCTGAATAACGAGATGAAAATGGTCTGCTCTCCATTAAATTAACATGCATTCTTAGGAGAAACTTTCTTGGATACGTGGAGAATGTCAATCATTAAATTTAAACTGCCTGGGAGGCAGGAGCTTGCCAGTGTGCTTCTGGGTGGTTAAAACTTGAGAGCAAGTTGTAACCGTATGTAAAATGAGGCTGTTAAGACAGTCCATTTCTGACTCAGTAAGTATCAGAGATGCACTGGGCAGGCCTCCAAAGGCAAACACGAGGCTAGGTTTTGTGCAGAGCATGAATTCAGAGAGGGGTTTATACAAGAAGTAACAACTGTCCTCTATGTTTATGATCCAGGCATAAACATATATGAAGATGAGAAAATCCAAGAAGCAAAGGACCATAAAACATGAATTATTTTTAATACCAACTAGACTGAAACTGTCATCACCTCCAAGGCTCACTGTAGTTTCAAGCTAGTATGCATCTTTTGTCTTCAGTGAAGCTACTTCTTATTTATTCTGATCTAAATGAAAGCAGAATCAGGTGAAAAAACATCCTGTTCTAATTGAGGATAGAAATGAGAGATCTCTGTGATTTCAGAGTGGTGGAGAAATGACATTAAGCACAGCTGTCATAGATGAGATATGTAGAAACTGCAGTGGGGAGTTTGCCCTCAAACCATTCTCTTGTTGGCTGAGTTTCTCTTAAAAGGTATGTGTTTCATAGATGAAATAGAAATAGCAGTATCTGACACAATATCGCATCGAATGACAATACAAACACACATATCACAAACACAGAACTACATCACATACTAAGACTAGGAAGTTGGCAAAACAGACCCCGAGGGAACACCAGAAAGCACTGTTGTTTGAGCAGAGAAACAAAGAGCTCTATCAGGTTGGCTGCCGTAGCTGCAGAATGTTCTTTTTAGTTAATGCAGTAAAAAGCAACATGGTCAGAATATAATTCAGAGTTTGCCTCCTCCAGTGTATAAGATACTGTGATGCAAACCCCATGAGTCATACTCTCAAGGCATGGATTCAGATCTTCAAGTTCCAGCTGAAGAAGTTCCTGCCCCATCTGTTTTTCACCATCCTTCTTTGCTGCTTGTATAACGTGAGACTCTGTCAAAATGAGCCAGATTAGTTTAAACAGTAAGCTGTTGAATAGCAGATCTTTGGTAACCCAGCTGATTTAAACTGCAGTGGGTTAGTGAGTACTCAAACAGCTCTACCAGCGAGCAGGGCGGTGGACAGAAGATGATAAGCAGTTCAAGGCTCTAGTCTCTTTAAGATGCCATGACTCGAAATGCAAGAAGATAAGTGAACACGGCCTCAGACATACTTCACACTCCTCCTACAATTTCACAGACAGAAAGGGCAGGATTGAACTCTGATCCTGTATCACGGGCCTGGGATCACAGAACTAGATCATCCCAGCGCGTACTAAAGTAGCTCAGCAACTATTTTAACTTCTGCCATGGCCTGAACCAGTTCCTGGCTATGATTGAAATGGAGTGCAGAAAGCAGTAGAATATTTTGGCTACACAAGGCAAAATATTTTACAAAAACAACTTCAGGCAATACTGTCTACTGTCTTCTAATTGCAGCTATTCTGCACTAGCATTTCTACACTGCTGGAGCTGTGGATGGCGTTACATGCGTTGTGTACCACTCGCTTCACACTAGAACACAAAGGCAAGAACCAAACTCAAGGCTTTCCCACTTGTCTGCCTCCTGCCTTGACATCCAAAGTGTTTATCGTTTATGGAGTAAGAGAAATGGCAGTTGCAGGATGTCTAGCAGGCCACCTTGCTGTAATTAGTCATCTGGGTGAGCTTTCCGAGTAGACTGGGATGCCTTTTGTCCCTCACCGGCATGGACAGACAAGTAACCGCCTTGTACCTAGTCACGGTAAGAACTTATTTGGAACCGTGTCCAATTCATCCCACTTATTCAGCATCTTCCTAGAAAGCAAAGACAACTCTGCTTCAAAAGCTGCTTTAAACCTTAGAGTGGTACAAAATGTATTTGCGTTCCCAGATGACAGAAGTGATTATAATACACCAATAGCTATTTTTGGCCCATAATTATTTCTTTTCTGCGCAGTAGAGAAAAGCGTCTCTGAAATCACTTTGCTCTGAAAAGTGTGCCTGAAATAATTGAGAGTTAATCTTTATTATCTGCAGCTTCCTTACTACATATGCTGAAAGACAATGTTTATAATTGTTAGGTCTGCAAACGGAACGAGGGATGGAGAAGTCAAGTTGCTTTCTTCCTTTCTGTGCTCACCACCAAATGAAAAGTTCTGTAAGCCAAGTGCCAGAAGTGGTGCTTGAGCCTCAAAATCCAGACCCAAACCAAGGCCCCCACTGAAACCAGCTCAAATCTCTTTGGGGATGTCAATATAAGTCTGAAAAGACACAGCAAGACAGTCCACTGACTGACACAAAAGGCCTTGTCTTTGCTACTTCTAAGAGCTGAATAGCACTTAAAAATCATTAAAGGAGAACCAAGTTCAATTTCTTTTGGCCAGCAAAATAGACATTTCAGAGGCAATTTCACTGAAATCAGTGATTTCCTTGAAAGTTTTGTTTCTGGATTATCAGCGGTAATTCTGAATGAACGCCTAGCGCTAGTGCAGTTGGATAGGAAAGTGGGAGTCCAATAGCGGAGATTTTAAAACAGTTCTGGTCTGCTTCAGTAATGGTTTAACAACACTTAAAAACAGCTCATATTGAAGCCAAATGTTTCATTTCAAATTGTACACTTGACAATTAATTTTAACGACTGTTAATTACTAATGCTGGCTGGAAATCCGTTTATAGCCTCCGACACCCAGCTCCCCCACTACTCGTCTTTCTGCAGTTTTTCTCACACTTCCAACGTTTATAAAATACCCAAGGCAAAATTAATGTATTTTTTTAAATGCAAGAGAG